CATCCTGGCGGAGGAAGATCATGACCGCGCATAGCCATTGCCATTTCCAGAGCACGACGCCATCTACCACGGGAGTATATCAAGTGTCTCTGCACTTCCTGAGGATACACGCTGTCAATGAGAGTCAGAGCTGCCAAAAGTAGCTCTGAACTACCGCAAGCATCATTATCCTGTTCTGTCATGATGCCAGCTTCGATATGTTCTTGACTCTCAGGATAACCAATTGTAAGTATCTCATGCATCCTCATGAGGGTCTGCAAAAGGGTACGTGGTCCATATTCGCCTGGAGCAAGCGAACCAGCAGGTATGAACGGAATATCTGGTTCGCCTGCAATGAAGGCCTGAACAAATGCCTGAGACTCCATTTCAATTAAGTCTTCAGTGGTCTGGGGATATTCTCCCATCAAAGAAGGCCTGTTTCCAGGCGGGATTTCGGGCGGAGGTTCGAGGTTCCGTTGAACCTCGGAAGGCGAAGCCTCTATAGTGGTGTCCTCGTCGTCGCTCTCGTAGGCCATGATGTTGCCTGGGTTCCCGAACATCCAGTCGAAGAAAGAAAGAGGCTCGTTTCCAAGCGTACCGTGTTCCACGGGAGTGAGTTCGTTACTGCACGTGACGAACCGGCGGACGTACTCGAGGTAGTACGCGTACAATCCATGACCATACCCCTCGAGCTCGTCGATGTTGTCCATGCCAACAACCCAAGTGAAAAAATATCTGTTCCATAGCCTCAAAGTCCTGGAGGCTCAGATATTCAATGGATGGTGCACTTGAGCCAAAATGGACTTCGGACGACATGCCCTTTCCATTTCCCTTCGCTGGACAATCTCGCACAAGATGATCGGAACTACCACATTCATGGCATTTGAGCACCTGGCCGTCTCTACCTCGCGGGTTTCCCCGCCGAACTTGACCTTTTCCTGAGGTCTCTCTACGGCCCTTACCACGGCCTTTTCCCCCAAAGAATATCTCATCATGTTGTTCATCTGAGAGCCTCTGGAGAAATGCCGCGATACCTCGCCCATTCAACCTCCGACGACCACGCTTGCCTTTACCCTTTCCTTTGAAACTTCTGCGTATCCTTCTTCTAACACGACGCACTGGTTTTCGTGTGAACCTCCTCCACCTTCGTCTAGCCTGTTGTAACAACCAGAATAAGTGCTCAGCACGCTGATTGTCGTTATCCATATTCATGATATCTGACCAATCTAGAGCTTCAACACCATCTGATGATATAGTGTCTGTATCGGTGCCGGAGTCGAAATCTTCGTCTCCTAAATAGGTGGATACACCGTCGGTTAGGGGATTTGATTCCCCCCATAACGAGCGGTGTGGTTGTGGTTCTCTAGAAGGAGGGCTGGTTGCCCAGCTTGGTTGTGATCGATCCCCTGCTAATAAAGCAGTGGATTATCCTGGGTCATCGGCCCATATGTCTGAGGGCCCGTTTCCAGGCTAAGCTTCAGTAGTCAAGGTAGTGTAGAAATTTCCACTACCAGATCCCCTTCCTCTTCCAAACACGGATCCTATGTTACCAGGAGATCGTTCGGATAGGTGGCCTATCGAACGCATCCTTTCCAGCAGCTCATCATATTGTTGTTGTGTTCGAGGCATTTGGTGGTTGAGTGGTTGTAAGAGTTGCGTGGCTTTCTGGTTGCCGACGCCTAAGGCGCGGAATAGGATAGTGGTTAGCAGTTGGAAGTTAGGAAGGTCGAATCCCACCGACTGTGCCTCAAGTCGGTCCATTTCGAATTGGGTAAGAGTGACATCGATTCGTTCCCCGTGAGGCACATGGAAGTCGATGAGTTGCGTGCCGGAAGTGAGCTGTCGCTCATCTTCCAGGCGTTCGAACTTCATGCTGAGGAGGAACATGATGTAAGTTACTGGGTCTGTGTGGACCCCATCAATGTCAGCACCATAGTTTATAATGTCAGGCGGTACCCTCATGGCGAGTGTCCTCGCTAGGCCACCTAGGCCGCGTTGTATTGCGGCCGCTTGGGCCTGTGGCGTCATACGTCCGCTTGTAACGTTGAGCCATGCGTTGACCTCGTAAATGTACTCACGAAAAGGTACATTACCTTGAGGGTCCCAATATGGGCCATGTGTTTGCCCATCGGTGCTGTTATCTCCACGACGCATGTGTCCGATTGCTGCCCCCAGCGCGAACCATATGATAGCGAAAACGATTAGCCCGAGAATGTGTAACGAAGGACGGTTATGATGCGCGTTGTCGCGCTGGGGTAGCGCCTTGTCGAGTCTTCGAGGCGCTCTGTCTGGCGGGTCTCCCCGCCCTTGCTTCAAGTATTGCGTTGTTAGCTCGTTGCCGAGCGGTTGGTAGTAACGCAATGATGAAGCGTATATGGTACCAGTTTGGTCGTCTAGACGTCGTACCTCTCGTGTTGCTTCTTGCTCTTGGATAGATCCTCGTAAACGTACTGGGAGTGGTGGCGCAAGGTGGTAGGTGGTCACGAAGATCGTGCCGAAGAATATGAGGCTAAGAAGAGCAAGAGCTGACCACACGAGAGTGCGGCCAGCTCCGCTACCAAGTCGAAAGTGAGCCTGGTAACTCAAATAGGGCATATAGCCTGGCAAATTGCATCCATCGCTCTGCTGTGAAGGTACAGTATGAGGGGTGGATGGGTAAGATAGGATAAGATCGATGTAATGCTCTTTCCAGCACATAGCGAACACTCGCGGTGTCCGGGCAAATAGGGCGCGCGTGCCTTGAGCCCAAGGCAGCGGCGCGCGAGCTATGCTCCCGATACTGTAACATCTCCCAAAGAGCTACCCTTAAAGTGAACGGGCTACATGCCAGAACGGCCCTGGACACGCGTAACTTTCGGCGCACGGCTTTAGAGGGGCGGGGGAGGGCCAAACCCAAGCGTGCAATCCGCTGCTGTCGCATCGCGTGCAACGATCGGGTGGCCTCAATGAAGCCGCACCAAAGTTCACTCCCGCGCAGGATCACTCAGACAAGGGCCTGATTCGGCTTCAAGCCCGCTTCGGCTTCGGGCCCGTTTCGGTTTCGGCCCGTTTCGGCCTCAGCGCGTTTCGGTTTCGGCGCGGTTCGGCTGAGCTCGTTTCGGCTCGTCCCGTTTCGGCTTCGGCGCGTTTCGGCTTCGGTCCGTTTCGGCTCCGAGCGATTCGGCTTCAACGGGATGCGAATTCGGCCTGCTTCGGCTTACAAGCCCGGATGCGAGCGTAGGTGTTTGAAGGATGTTGGCATTTGATTATTTTCTGCCTTCCACCCGCCCAAGACGGCCCAAGAGGCCCCCGAGATCGCCCCAAGATGGCCCTCAAAGCATCCAAGATGTCCTTATGACGGCCCCCAAAAAGCCTCCAAGGCGGCCCCAAGAGGGGCCCACGACAGGTCAAGAGGCCTTCAAAACGCCCAAGATTCCCTCCAAGACGGCCCTGGAGCACCCCAGGAGGGCCCCAACTCGGCCTTGAGAGGGCCCCAAGACGGCTTCTGACGGCGTCAGACGGGCCAGGAGCCCACAAAATTATTGATGTTCCATCGGTTTTCGAAGGATTCTGGCATGCGATTATTCGGCCTTCTGACGGCCCGAGACGGCCCAAGAGCCGCCAAAGATCGTCCCAAGATCGCCCAAGAGGCCTCCAAGATGGCCCCAGAACGGCCCAAGAGGCCCAAAAGGCGGTCCCAAGGAGCCCCAAGGCAGCCCAAGAGGTCTCCAAGATGCCCAAGATGGCATCCAAGACGACCCTGGAGGGCCCAAACTCGGCCCAGAGAGGCCCCCAAGACGGTTTCTGACGGGCCAGGAGCCCACCAAGACGGCCCAGCTTGGCTCCAGGATGGCCCTAGGCGGCCACCAAGAGGTCTCCAAGACGGCCCACGAGGCCCAAGAGGGCCCTCAGGATGGTCCGAAGAGGCCGAAATCATTGGGTTACCATCGGTTTCTTAAAGGATTATGGCATTTGGCTTTTTATTGCCTTCAAACAGCCCAAGACGGCCCAAGCGCCCGCAAAGATCGCCCAAAGATCGCGGTGCTGGCGCTTCGACGGGCCGCTGCAGGCTCGTGCACGGCGGCTAAATGGTATTGGCTCAGCACGAGGGACATCGACGCGAACGATGTCACGTTCGAGAACCTAAGGGGAGTAAAAAAGGTTGTCGTCACGAATGTCGCGAGCCTCTGAGGGAAGACCAAAGCGGCTTACGATGAGTTTGCCGAGCTGCATTAGGACAGCCGACTAAGGGAGATTGGCATTTCCTTCGAATCAGTTGTGTCATCAGGAGCCTGGAACCAACGCTGAAATACGACAATTCGCTGAGGGCTTCGGCATATCAATGAACATGCAGAATTCTAGCTTCATGCTAACGGACAAGGTGTATGTGAGCGGGCCCCGTCAACACCCAAGAGGTCTCCTAAATGACCCCAGAACGGCCCAAGGGGCCCCCAAGACGATCCCAAGACGGCCGCAAAACGGCCCAAGCGGCCTCCAAGACGCCCAAGATGACCTCCAAGACGGCCCTGGAGCACCCCAAGAGGGCCCCTAGTCGGCCCAGAGAGGCCCCCAAGACGGCTTCCGACGGCGTCAGGCGAGCCAGGAATGCCCTAAGACGGCCAAAGAGGCTCCCGAGAAGCCTCCCAAGGCCCCCAGGAGGCCCAAGGAGGCCCCCAAGATGCCTGGCTCCCAGGAAGCTCACAGGAGGCCCCAAGGATACCCCCAGCCCCCAGAGGCTCTCAAGATCTCCCTCCTTTTTCCTCATCTTTCTGGTCTTCCCCGCCATCCTCCCCCAATGGTTCCCCGAAGGGTTTCCACAACGGCTGCGGGAACACATGGTCCGATAGCTGGGCAGAGCTCTTG